CCACACGGCATTACAAGGTACTCATAGTGGCCAGATGGTGTGATGAATGCCGTTTTCCACTTGTCGCCTTCCCGGATTCTAACGAGGTTGTACGCACTTCGCAGGTCCAGCTTGGAGAACAGGCAGGCCCCACGGAGTTCCTCGAGGGCGGTCGGGACCAGGGGAAGGGGATAGGGCAGTTTCACCGTCTGGGAGTTCAGAGTCCGATAGTCGATACATGGCCGCAAGCCCCCGTCCTTCTTGCCCACAAAGAAGAAATTTGAAGCAGCTGGAGAAGTAGAAGGTCAGATGAATCCTTGGTTAACTAGCGGCTTTCCCTGGATGGTCTTGACTCGGAGCTCCTGGGCATGACGTTTCCGGGGCAGATGGAGATGATTCAATAGGTCCTGGGATATGAAATTGCCCGAGGAGCCCGAGTCGACGAGGGCTGGGACTGTAACAGAAAGGTCTGAGGTAAGTAGTTGTACCGATAGCATAGATAGCGTGGACATGACAGGGTCTAGTTGGCGGGTACTCACCGCTGGACGTGGGGGTCTCACTGGGCAGGTCCTGATGTAATGATCAGCCGCAGCGCAGTAAAGGCACAGACCTGCCGCGAGGTGGTGAGCACGTTCCGAGGGGGTGAGCTACTTGCATCGGCTCTGGTACTGGGGAACCCATGACGGGCGCGACAGACTGGTGGGTGGCTTCGGTGGCGTGGCATGCGGACAGACGCTGGGAAATTCGGTTGGCTCTTTGCATGAAACTTTCCAGTCCAACGGAATCATCATAAATAGCCATTTGAGCTTGAACACTGGGATTCAATCCTTGCCGGTATGCGCTAAGTAGAGCCGCCTCATTCCACCTGCTAGTCGCCGCCAGCGTTCTGAATAGCAGTGTGTAGTCACTTGTGGAAGAAGCGCATTGGCGCAGCCGCAGTAACTGATCGGACTCAGATAGCACTCCTGTAGTATGGCCAAACACTTCTTTGAAATGGTTAGTGAAGGCATCATATGAATTAATTATGGCACTATTAGCGTTCCATATGGCCTTAGCCCACAACAGCGCTCTTCCTTTAAGAAGTGAAATCAGAAATGCTCCCTTTGTGCGTTCGGTGGTAAACTTCTGAGGCTGCATCTCAATATACAACGCCACTTGCAGGAGGAAGCTGCCACACTCAGCTGCGTCATCCTGCGGACAGACGCTGGGAAATTCGGTTGGCTTTTTGCATGAAACTTTCCAGTCCAACGGAATCATCATAGATAGCCATTTGAGCTTGTACCCGGGGATTCAATCCTTGCCGGTAAGAGGTAAGTAGAGCCGCCTCATTCCACCCGCTAGTCGCCGCCAGCGTTCTGAATAGCAGTGTGTAGTCGCTTGTGGAAGAAGCGCCTTGGCGCAGCCGCAGTAACTGATCGGACACAGATAGCACTCCTGTAGTATGGCCAAACACTTCTTTGAAATGGTTAGTGAAGGCATCATATGAATTAATTATGGCACTATTAGCGTTCCATATGGCCTTAGCCCACAACAGCGCTCTTCCATTAAGAAGTGATATCAGGAATGCTACCTTAGTGCGTTCGGTGGAAAACCTCTGCGGCTGCATCTCAATAAACAAAGCCACTTGCAGGAGGAAGCCGCCACACTCGGCTGCGTCACCCGCGTATGAAGCAGGCATGGCCATGGGACTGACAGAGGCAGATTGGGGGGTTGTCGGAGGAAGCAGGGAAGCCCGGAGGGTGTTTACTAGCTCCTCCAGGACTTCTGCGGGTGTGGGAGGACGAGAATCCATGGAGGTAATTGTATCGGTCTGGTCTTCTGTCACAAATCAAGGCTGGAAACAACAGGTAAGTGCAAAACAAGATGGTTTATTGACAGGATTTGCAGAGGAATGGAATGGGTGAGCTATAGGTGCGGGTGATCAGAACTCAGGTGACTGTGATCTGGTGATTGTCTTGGATGGTGACTGAAGTGACCGTGACGAATCCCTGACAATATAAATGACAAACCCTATTTAACTGGCAGCATTCCTCCAATTTTCACTGAGATTTTAAGATGGCGGGCCGCTCTAAGGTGACTGAAACCCTGCGACAGGTGGTTGTCCAGATGATTTCTTGAATATTGCAGGTTTATAATGACACTAATTCATTCAAGTCGCCCGAAAAGGCTGGTTGTCCATGTAAGACAAATGCATGAGAAGAAAGGATAATGCAGAGACTCTCAATGGGGAATCGGTTCAACACTGCAGCTGGAATTGCTTGCCAGTTCAATGCTGAACATGGTAAGGATCTGTCTTTGATCACTGTGTTTTCTACAAAATAAAGGTTTTTGTTGAAATACCTTGGATATTTTGTCAAACATGTTAGTAGAACAACGGTTTACCTACAGCTGATATTCCTTGTCACATGAAAAGATATAATAAAATATTTACAAAAATGTGAGGGGTGTACTCACTTCTGTTAGATACTGTATATATATATATATGCTCACACACTAAAATTCAAGATACTATGTTTTTTAATAGCAGTCAATGGAGACAGATGCTTCCCAGATGGTGGGCGGCATCTACCAGGAGGTTCTAAGTAATTCATGGTAACCAGCCAAACCTTGATGTGTAGCCCTTATAAAACTCTTAGCATAAAATTGAGACAAAAACATTTCTTGAAATGATGAATTATGATGGAACCGAATGTCTCCAGTTATCAAAATGAACTATCAAGACAAATGCAACAACAATCTTTCGATTATTAGAAGCAGCTGTTCCAGCAGTGCGAAGTGATCCCACTTGTTTCATTACGAGCTCAGCTGAGAGCTTTGACAGATCACGAAAACGCATCACACTCACACAGACACCCCTCAATCTGTTTTATTCATCAAAAAAGCGACGGCTGAACGAGAGCACTTCCCTAAGAGAGGTGGCGAAAAGAGGTGTGAGAGGGACTCATTTTCTCTTTCTCAGATTGAACGGAGGCCCAGGAGGATAGACTGCAGCTCACACTTGAAACCTCTCCTTCGGCAGATCTATTCAAAATCTAAACGTGTGAAAGTTGTCACGCAAGGCTAAAGGTTCCGATCTCCATGACAACAGTTGTCTTGCTTGATACGAGCGTCTATCAAAATCGTTCTCTGCTGTACGTGTATTGGCAGCGCTGTCAAAAATCTGTCGCCTAGGCAACACGGTTATTGCAACGATATTTCAACAGTTCTGTGGAGTCGTAAATGCATCAGCGAATGAGTCAAGATTTCCATAGTGATCAGATCTCTAGGCAAATGTATTTAAAGTGAACTGCATCCACTAGCACATTTCAATTCATTAAATCCAACTATCCGTTCATCCATCTATCAATCATTATTGCTTTTCATCAAATCAGTTATGACTACTAATGTTATGTGGCCTAATTATTATTCAGTCTGACTGATATGGTTTATAATGTATCTTCCTTCACTTTTTGGATCAAGTCTATTCTTTTATCCATTTATCCATCCATCATTTAATTGATGTCTTTAAGCATTTGACGGGTACACTGTGGCATCTATCACCTCTCTGTGTTTAGCCCTTTGAAACTTCCTGTCGAGACATCTGGTGATACGCGTGCGTGTTTGTGTGTCTGTAGTGATGGTGGTGTTTAGTGGGCCGAGGAGAGTGATAGCACTGTGAACAGGCCCTATTACTGAACAGAAAAGCAAGAGAGAACTAGTGCTCCGCTCTCTGCACCCCTCCATCAACATCAATCTCTTTTTCTGGGGGCGTCAGACGGGCCAAAGGAAAGGAGAAGAGAGACATGGAAAGTAAATCAACTAACACCCTCTAGCTCTGGTTTAGAGCAGAGACGCAAAGAGACAAGAAACAGAGTGAAGTGAGGGAATGTTCTACATGAAGTTCAGAGAGGGGAAAAAAAATATTTTTTTGGTAAGGTATGTTTTTCTTACCCAGGTAAACAGGGAGCAAAAGGCTTTTACATTTTTTTTCCCATTAAGTATAATTAGTTTTGAATTATATTACTTAATTATATTACTCTTGAAAAATGTTGATTGTCAACCGTAGAACATCCAGTGGTACTTTAGTATAGGAACCATTTCTCACTATTAACTAGTTTCTTACTAGCATGCCTATTATTAACATATTGGCCGTTTATTAGTTCTTATAAAGCACATATTCTGCATGACCATATTCTACATCTCTAATCCTACCCAATACCAAAACTTAACAACTACCTTACGAACTAATAATAAGCAGCAAATTAGGAGTTTATTAAGGTAAAAGTTGTAGTTAATAGTTTGCTAATAGCGAGACTTGGACCTTAAAAAGTGTGACCAATCCAATAACTAAGTGCTAACTATGTGCTAACTACCTATTCATTTTAAATTTCTTAGAAAATAAATTTATTTCTTGTTATAATTTTATATTACATAGTTTTTAGATTTAAATTAGCACTAACTGCAATCCTGCTACCAACATTTGTGTCAGGTCTAATAGTTTAAAACTCAAACTGAGACAAAAACATTTCTCAAAATGATAAATTATGGTGGAACTGAAACTTGCATTTGTCTCTGTAGTTCATTTTGATAAATGGAGACAACTGGGGATCAAAATAAACTATCAGGACAAATGCAACAACAATCTTTCCATCATTAGAACCAGCTGGGTGAAATATAAAATAAAAACAAAATTAAAAAAAAAATAGAACAAGATAAGCTTACAAGCAAAACTGTGTAAAAAGAAAATTGTATCCCGTTTTTTTTTTTTTGAGTTTTAAGCCGAAAAGTATATAGTGAAGCTTAGAACAAGAAACAAACTGCATTAAAAACTTAATTCAAAACATCTTTAACATTTGAATGGAGTTTGCAGGTTAAACTGCTCAAGCTGAATTAACTATAGGAAACTGTAGGGAAAATAAAAAGTAGAAAGAAATTGCATTTGTTTTTCACAGTTTTTTCACAGTTCTGCCTTGCAAACACTGTAATTATGGCATGAGTCATACATGCACTTGGATCAATTTGAAGTTGTTGTTTTTGCTCACCTTGCCTGGCACTTTTGAAGCTGAAGGACTGAAATCCTCCGGTCAGCGCGGACGAGTCGATGACATCAACGCCATACTCGCTCTGGTTCCGCCTGTACAGCGCTACAGCGATGACCAGCACGACCACGGTAACTAAACCCGCAGCCAGACCAGAGTACAGCGCTACATCATTACTGCTCTCCATATCAGCTAGGAAAAGAGAAAACACATTTGAAGAGAAATACACAATGACTAAGCAATGACTGTGGTTCTTTCGAAAAATCATAATATAAAGGTATTTATTTATTCGCTCAAATTTCCATCAAATAGCTCAGGGATCTCATTTTGATGTATACAGATGCAACACAGCCACAAATAAATTACATAACCATAAAACACCTTCATCACAGAAGTCTCGCTTTCTCTCTTAGTCTCTCTAATGTTCCCACTTTCCCAGACACCTCCAGCACCAATGAAAGTTCTCAAGCGATGGGCGATTACAATCAGCCCTCAACCGCACACCTGACTCTCAACACGAACAAACGCAGGGAATCTGGCAAAGCAAAAACCGCGAACCTTCCACAGGGATTTCATGACAACACAGCTCATTACATTATCTCATCTATAGTGATTAGGTCCTATCTGCCGACTCAAACAATCTCACAAACAATTCAACCAGGACACTCTGAACAACAGACAAAACAAAGAAAAGCTAGCATGTCGTTTCTGAGCATTCACCAGACAGGTAGGGAACATCAGACAAAGCCTGCGGCTATGAAAACACTATAGCCAGAAACATGTGGAGCTGCACTAACAGCAAACAGAGCAGGTTAATTGGGAGCTCTGGAAAAGTTTGGCAGGCTAATGAATCTCTTTTGCTATCTATCTATCTATCTATCTATCTATCTAAATATATATATCGCGACTTTTAATCTCACAATTCTGACTTTTAGTTCTTACTTTTTTCTTGCAATTCTCGCAAAAAGAATTCTGAGATTACTTTTTTATTTTTTATTCTGTGACAAAAAAAAAGAATTGTGAGGAAAGAGTTAAAATTCTGAGTTTATATCTTGCGATTATGATTTTATTCTCAGAATTGCAAGAATTGTGAGATCGCAATTATTAGAAGTCACAAATATGTTTTTTTTTTTTTTTTATCTGTGGCAGAAACAGACTTCCATACATACAATAAGAGACTTCTTTTGAAAACATTTAATGAATCTTACTGACCCCAAACTTTTGAATAAATAAACAAATAGTAAAAGGATACGTTTTCTGAGTTATGTTTGACTATGTTATAATCATGATGGGGACACTGACATTCCTCAAGTAAAACCTGTCAAAGATGTTTAATCTTTGCGGTGCATCATTGTCAAGTTAATGTTGCACCGTTTCAGTCATTGAGTCAGCACTCTGAAAGCTGTCTTTAAAATGTCATCAACTTAATTGGTTTTCCAGGTTGTTTCAAATGGCATCCTGGATGATGATTCACTGGAAACCTAATTGTCAGGGCATTCTATCTAAATATATATATCGCGACTTTTAATCTCACAATTCTGACTTTTAGTTCTTACTTTTTTCTTGCAATTCTCGCAAAAAGAATTCTGAGATTACTTTTTTATTTTTTATTCTGTGACAAAAAAAAAGAATTGTGAGGAAAGAGTTAAAATTCTGAGTTTATATCTTGCGATTATGATTTTATTCTCAGAATTGCAAGAATTGTGAGATCGCAATTATTAGAAGTCACAAATATGTTTTTTTTTTTTTTTTATCTGTGGCAGAAACAGACTTCCATACATACAATAAGAGACTTCTTTTGAAAACATTTAATGAATCTTACTGACCCCAAACTTTTGAATAAATAAACAAATAGTAAAAGGATACGTTTTCTGAGTTATGTTTGACTATGTTATAATCATGATGGGGACACTGACATTCCTCAAGTAAAACCTGTCAAAGATGTTTAATCTTTGCGGTGCATCATTGTCAAGTTAATGTTGCACCGTTTCAGTCATTGAGTCAGCACTCTGAAAGCTGTCTTTAAAATGTCATCGACTTAATTGGTTTTCCAGGTTGTTTCAAATAGCATCCTTGATGATGATTCACTGGAAACCTAATTGTCAGGGCATCAACCCAATGTTGAACAATGTCAGTGTGGAAACGAGCTTATGTAAAGGTTGCAATAAGGTTGTTTGTCGAGCGTGACTCAGAATGATGATAACAGTAAAAGGGGTTAATTACACAGACACCGTGAACAGAACGATCATATGAAGATGGATGATTGTGATGCAATGCGGCGTTATTACATCATGCTTCATATGCCTGTGAGCATATTCAAAAGTAATCCAATGCATGTAAATTAAATGATAAAACTGAAGTAAAAAAAAAAAATCTAAGCAAAAAAGAAAAGAAACACAGATGAAAGGTGAAGCGGCAGTGACTCACCTTGCGGAACCTTCACATCATGGAGCAGCTTCCTGTCTGCAAAAAGACATGTATAACATAATGTGAGACGCACAAACACTGCAACTTTCAGATGCTCATGCACAAACATTGCTCTAAGGCATATTTGGAAGTTGCAAGAATCCATTGGAGATATAAAAAAGCCCATTTGGTGTGACGATGCATGAGCTGATCAAAGTTACGCTAGAAGAAACCTTCCTCCTCGCTCTTTCAAAAAATGAATTTTGAGAATTATGTAGGAGGTAAATAAAAGACAGCACTGAATCAAGCTGTCTAAACACAGATCTACATATGTATGACGGTCAATGACAGGCATGTAATCTGGAATCGCTGTCAAATCTTTTACACAAAATTACCACTCTCACACAGAAAAGAACGTTACGGACGCATTAGTGTGTGTGGTTGTGTGTGTCCGCATTAGGTGTAGGAAATTGGTCTCTGATAGGGATGTCTATCACCGCTGGGCTTTAGACTCATCTGCAGAGGATGGCGAGGTGTACACCCTCCTCCCTCAGGGGATGGAGGCAGGAAAGATTGATTAAAGAACTGTCAGGATGATGAGCGAGGAGGATTAAAACAGAAGATTTCTGTCTCTCCCAAGGAATTACAAAACGGCCTGTCAAGTGCTGCTCGTCTGAGGGCTTGACTGACTGGTTTCATTCAGGCGCTGACAGCCTTCCACAGAGCACTTGTCTCTACTGATCTAAACAAAAGTGAGATTTTACTGCTCTGTGTCTGTGTTGCACAGAGGAAGCTGGATGAGCTGTATAACAGAAAATCAGGAGCATATTGAGCCTCTTTATACATTTTACAACCACACACAGCGTCATGTAAAGTAGAAAGAATTACACCATCCGTAGGTTTTATCATTGACACTGTAAGTCAAAATTAAAAAAACAAAACACATTTTTTTCTATTTAGCTGTTTTAATTATTTCAATCTAGTTTAGCCTGGTGGTAATGATGATAGTGAGGACAGCAGTGCAATGATGATGATGATGATGATGACAATGATGGTAACACAATGATGACATATACAGTATATGTGTGTGAGTGTGTGTGTATAGTATAAAAGCTATTACCGTATTGTCCCGCATATATATATACATACATATATATATATATATATATATATAAGACTGGAAATCAGCAACACCCCAAAGGAAGTAAAAAATGTAAAAATTAAAAGTGTATAGAAAAAAAAAGAAAAAAAATACACTATATAAAAGTTATTATTAATTTATTTAACTTATTATTAAAACTTATATTGTTTAATATACAAACAATATTTATGTTTATAATAATACAAATTTCTATTGCCGCTATTTCAAATTTGTCTGTAAGTTGGACACCTTTTTCTGGTTAAGAACGACACATTCTATTTATTTATTCATCCATTTTTTAAATTATTTTTTTCTCTTGGTTTCATATTCAAATGTTTTTTGGGCGGGAGAGTTTTGAATGGGTTTATATGAGACAGTCTGTAATTTCATATTTTTTAATTAATGCACCTTGTATGGTCTTGTAAAAATACCAATGAAAAAAAAGGAATGACACTTACTGCATTACTTATCAAGAATTTCTCTGAATTTCAGTTCAGTTTAATTCTACTTTGAATTACAACTCCAGCATCAAATTTCAAATTTAAACTAAATTCAAGATTTAAAATGCATTCTCAATTCAGTTCTGATTGGCATACATCCTGGTGATGATAATAGTGATGCCAATGATGGATGTGATAGTAATAATGATGATGACAGCAGTAATGACATGGTGACTATTACCCACCTTGAATACAGAGGTCTCCGGTGCAGTTGTCTGTGTCCAGGGCGGCTCCATCACACAGTCTTCCTCCATGTTTTGGCTCGGGGTCTGTACACTCTCTAGTGCGCTGCCTCTCACATTCAGAACTACACACAGACCACATAGTCCACTCGGCCCAGCCACCGTCCACTGCCACACACAAAGACACACGTCTTCATTAGAACACATAAAAAGTTTATTATGCAGAGTTTGCAACTTAAAAATTGGAATTCATACTTCCTCTCAGATCAATCTTGTGTATCTGATATAAACGTTCTCTCAGAATGGTCACTCATTTCATTCCTCTTTCTGCAGGATGTGTTCCTATAATTCCAGGATTTTCCCTCGCAAGGTTTGTCTCTGACAAAAGCAAAAGACAATTTACTTTTGTCTTGTTCCATCAGGCTTTCCCCTTTACCCTAACGACTCCATGGGCTGCTGGTGTTTCCTCTGCGGCTAATCTAAATGCAAATGCCGTGTGGTTGTGTGTCTCTGTTGAGTGGGGTACTGGGATTGAGCTGGGCTGGAGAGCGAGATTAAGTTCTTTTGGTTGCAGAGTGACTGGTGCCCTCAGATAACTTTTCCTCCAACATGACTAGTGGTTCCCATGTGATTGGTACTTCCAATGAAACCATAAATTTAGCCAGCGTAAGAGCACCCGAGAACCCCGCGACTGATAACTCTTTTTTTTTTGCTCCTCTCTTTCGCGCCATCAGGTTTCTCTTTCTGCCCCTCAGTCTTTCTCCTTTCATATGTCTGTCTTGATTCCCTAAACGTCGACTTATGGAGTTTCGTAATCCTGAATTCTCTTACCGTCAAATCTCTGTCACATACACATGCTGTCTTTCAGTTGTCTGTCTTTCTGAATTCCTTTCATCCCTGTTTATCTGTCCCGCTCCATCTCTCTTGCTCGCTATGAAGAGCATTGTATTGCGCTTTAGACAGTAAACAGGAAATCTGTGAGAATGACAGTGCCACATTAACAGAACGCAGATACATATCAACTGTAAAACTCCAGAGGCTTATGCCACTGAGGTCAATTCAAATGCAGCACATACTTTTACATTCCTGCTTTATATGCAGGCTCTCAGACAGATGGATTAGCCATCAATTTGTTCAGAAAGCATGTTTAATTAACAAGGCATAGTAGTGAGGCATATTCACACCACCTGACAGACCAGCCTTGGCCTGTTGAATCTGATGGCAAAATGCACTTCTGGGTTTTCAAGAACAAAGAGCTAGAGAGGAAAGAGCACATTTAATGCTGACAAATTTCCAGAAGAGCTACCGTAACAATATGTAACAGTATTGATGAGTGCATGTTAATTTGGGCTGACTAAATACTTTTTTTCCCCACTGTATATATATATATATATATCTATCTATATATTAATGTCGTGATAAGAAGTAATATGCTCAAAGTGATTAATATAACAACATCTACAAAAAAAACAACAACAACAATAAGCCCGCGAAGCTGTTGTCGTTCCATCCTGACAGATGACAGCTGTGACAGCTAAGTGGAATCCCGAAAAATAAACCGTGAAACTTTGACCAATGAGAAAACCGTTTACTCGTGCGTGACTTGTATTAACAAATTTGGTCCATTTAGAAACATTGCCGTGTGAAAGCGAACCACACCAAGAATAAAAAGCAACACTGTAATAATTTTAATCCCTGTTTCGGAACAAAGCAATCGATCTACAGGTGTGAAAATTCCTGTTCAAACGTTGAGGGCCAGTGAGATTGATTTTATTTTTATTTTTTAAAGAAATTAATACTTTTATGCAGCAAGGATGCATTAAATTGAACAAAAGTGTCAAATATATTTAATATTAATAAATAATGTTACAAAAGGTTTTGATTTCAAATAATGCTATTCTACTGGACTTTCTCTTCATTAAAGAATCGTGAAAAAATGTATCACGGTTTCTACAAAAAATATTAAGCGGCACAACTGTTTTCAGTATTGAGTATCAGCATATTAGAATGATTTTTGAAGGAAGTGACACTGAAGACTTGAGTAATGATGCTGAAAATTCAGCTCTGCCATCACAGGAATAAATTGCATTTTAAAATATATCAAAAAAGAAAACAGCTATGTAAAATTTTAATACTATTTTACAATATTACTGTTTTACTGTATTTTTTATCTTGATGAGCATAAGAGACTTTCAAAAATATATATTTATACATTTTTACAAAAACATTTTACATAAAAACATACCAACCCCAAACATTTGGATGTAGCATATGTATAACAATGCCTTAAATATTTTACACCCTAATAAGATATGGCTGAAAGTAATGATTCATAATTCAGTGAGTAAGTTCAGTAATGATTCAGCAAATGATCGAGTTGGCAGACCAATTCAAACCAGTAACAAAAGAACCGGCTCATAAGGCTCTAATATTTTTCACAAAACAGACTAGACTCATCAAGACATATACATTTAAGGATAACAGATTTGTTTTTGAGACACCCAGACCTTGCTGTCTCATCACATTCAGCTCAGACTGCAAGCTCACAACTCACAGGTTAACTGTTCTGTGTCTCTAACCTGGGCACGGAGAGGTACAGGTGCTCTTCTGAACAGACATTCCTTCACAGAAAGCTCCTCCATTAAGCGGAGCGGGGTTAGTGCAGGTCCGTGTCCGCTTCTGAATTCCTCTCCCACAGCGGACGTTACACTCTGACCAGTCCGTCCAGGATGACCACCCTCCATTCACTGAAACAGAGAGAAAAAAGTGTGGATTAACATTAGCTTTAAGCATCATTACTGTATGGCCTACTAGAAGGCATTGTTTATCCACACCACATGGTTCAATCTGGAGAGTTTCGCTTCCCATGCAACTACATTAAAGCAAAAACCAAAAAAAAAAAAAGGATTTCTGCAAGAGGACTTCAAAATCTCTAAATTAAATAAATAGGCATAATACTAATCTCTCTCACTCTTACTGCTCACAAGCCAATGATTACATTTTGTGTGTGAATTGGCTCTTTTAATGTTTATGAAATGTTTACACACAAATAATAAACTCAAAATGGAATCAATACTTTCCAGATGTGTGCAATTTCACAGACGTCTCTGCAATCTATACTTACATGCAACAGGATTTTAACAGCATACACAGCTCTATGAAACACTTCATGTAATTAACTCGACTAATGACTTGATCATTTAATTGGTACATGAAACTGGATTATACAGATATTACATTAGATGCCATTCCATATTGCCCAAAACTACATAAACATGCTAACACATGCTAACAGCCACGCTGAGGACTTAATGAGAAAAACAAATGACTAAGATAGATTCTCATGAATGAATACATGAAGCGGACATATGAAGGACAGATAAATTTGAAAATAACCAGTATTGGCAGTTTCATTATAATAAAAGGGTTCTGTTTTGAACTACTGCTAAAAGATATCATATTCTGTTAAATAATTTCAGAAATTGTGCTCAATTGGGGGTACAACTCACTACCTCCAAACGGCAAATATAAGACTAGCTAATTTCCCTTCTCTTAACCAGTGCATCGTCTCATTAACGCTGCTCTATGAACATTATCATAACCAACAAACAATGCATTTGTTTCTTTAATAAAAGCACACAAATTAATTTTCTTGTGGCTGCTGAGCCCAAGGGACTGCTGAGAGTAGGGTTGGGTATCGTTAGAAATTTTCCAATTCCGGTTCCAGTTTTGCCTAACGATTCCGGTTCCATTTAAATTAACTATTTATTTATTTTTTACTATTTTACCTTAATTGAATGTAGTGTTGCTGGAAGGTAGTAAGTAATGTTGAGTAATGCATGTGCTTCAAAGTTGATGTTTTTTACACTATCAATAACATTTTG